CTGCCCCCTCTGTCACCAGCCATGGGGACCAGCTTCCTGCTCCGTGTAGCAGAGGGAAAGATGCTGAAATTTTTCCTACAGCCCTTTGAAGATCCAACTCAAGGGACTGTGTTTTATCCTCTGGAGTCACAAAGTGGGGGACCCCCTCCTGGGGCTGGGTGGAGGGACCAGGTGTCCCCCTGCTCCCCTCCTCCATCCTTTCAAACTTTCTCCCCCAATGCCCACTTCTTTCCCCCCACCCCAACCCTGCAGGTGCCCCCAGGCAGTAGGGCTGTTACTGCGGCCAGGTCCTGGCGCCCAGCACTGCAGCATGCTCCTCGCCGCTGGCAGCTCGTGCCCTCCCATCAGCCTGTGTTCAGCTCTGCTTCTCTTCCTCCTGGCCCCCAAGACCCTCCTGGGCTTTGCCCCTGCAAGGACACAAGCCTGAAAACTTCAGCGTGGCCAAGCTTTGGCTTTAGGGCCCTCCTTAAATTGCATTTTGCAGTGATGATTGCATGTAGCTCTGCCTGCAACTTGTTGGTTAACTTGTCGGCTCCTGCACTGGGTGCAGGAGAACTTGCCTCTGTGCAAAGCAGAAATGCGCTTGTCTGGTGCGACAGGTGCCTTGGAGAAATCCCTTGTTAATATATGGGATTACAGGATGGGTCGTTCACGGCATAAATGTTATCAGGAAAGTCGTCCTGCCGACGCTGAGGCCCCCCGTAGCTCTGGCACATTGAGGTCAAGCCTTTGCTGAGCACCCTAGGGAACTGTGCAGGACCCTAGGAGAGTCGACTGTGTGCCTGAGGGGGAAAGGAACAGTTTGGGGGGAACTGGTTTGCTAAATTCCTCGTGGCATGCTTAAATGTTCCCCTTCTGACAGCACCTGTGCTCCTGCTTGGTGTGCAGCCTGCAGAAGTGTCAGTGCAGCAACGTGGGAGCTAGCCTCAGAGACACACAGGCAGCTCTGCTCAGAGTACTGCAGGGCGTTCGCAAGACTAGCATGTCTTGTTTTCCAGAATATGCCAAATTATTCATGTGCTTTTTCAGTGCAGTGTGGGTGGGCCCTCGCTGTTCAGCTTTTATTTAAAACAATAACTAGTTGGTGTGTTGCTGATGGCCCAGCTTTCCCAGTGTGGGCCAGGGTCCCGTGCTGGTGTAGTGCTGCATGATGTATCATCTAAAACAGCCTCTGTCTCCTAGAGACTAGTGCTTCACTACCACGCTGTAAAAATCCCACAGCATCATTCTTTCCTGGAATTTGCAATGCATGAGGAAGATTGTCTCATTCTTTCAAAAGAAGTGATATGTTCCTGTGCAAATGTTACACCCAGGTCTGCTCCAGGAACGGGAGCTCAGTCTCCGTGCCCGTTCCCACGCGTGAGTGCCTTCTCTTTCCAAGAAACCGATGTGCCCTGGAGCTTTTGCATAGCTCTTCTGCACCACAGCCCTTCACCTTGAGCTCTCAAGGTCTTAGGTACAGACAAGGCTTTTTGATGATAAGTCTATACCGACCGGATGATGTATCGAACAAAGGAATTGAAAGACCTTTAGAAGCTGATCATTTCTGCTGGGGAAAGGCAGAGCAATCTTTCTTTGTGTAAGGCTGGGTGAGTCTTCTGGTGGAGGAGACCTTAGCGCAACCTCATCTTGCACTACGACACATCTGAAATGCCAGGCCGGTTATTTTGTTGCTTCGGAGACTGATGAGCTCAAAGTGGTGTAACTCTGGGCAGTGTTAGCCTCATAGCAAGGTCTCCTAAGAAGGAAGTGCTGTCACTGCAGACTGTTATCAGTAAAGTTGGCCAGGCAAAGTTGTTCTGTTCCTTGTAATTGTAGCCTGGCACAAGTTGTGAGCGCCTTTCGGCAGGGCCAGGGAATTTTGTGAGCAACTCAGCTCTCTGGACCAGAGCCCACAGCGTGAAGCCTAGCAGTGTTTCTAGGCTGTGATGAGAGTGGTTTGCGGAGGTGAGTTTTGGATCTCGGCCACAGTCAACAAGAGTCGCTGGCCTTAGAAGGGAGGCCTGCCGATGTCAGCGCTGCTGGTTGAAGTAGGCATGACACCGAGGGAAGCCAGCGTAGCTGGGATGGAGCTAGGGGAGGAGTGGAGGCTCTTCTTCACCCAGCTCCGGTTGACTAGGTAATAGGGCTAAAAATAACTGGTGATTCAGGCCTGTATATCTGCTGGGTAAATGTATAATTATAACGAGCAGCCTCTGCAGTTTGGCTTCCCTGTTTAAATAGGGATGATGCATG